AACTATTACTATTACCTACTCACACAGGTACCCATGCTATTAACAAAGGAGACCTGGAGCAAATCAAGAGTGACTAGAAAACTCCAGCATCAAAGAAGGACATGGGACTCCAGGTGACATTTGTTCTCCTTGCTCTTTCAAGTGAATGGGAAAAGGCTTGTGGAAACACATCCTGCAAGTTAATAACTCACTGCAGGACTGGCACTGCAGGCAGTGTTTTTAACTTTTATGGCCACAAGTACCCCTGAGAAATGAGGGCTGCTAAGTTAGAGATGGATCCACTTGACAAAGTGGGTTAGGAATATCCTCATCAAATCTGGTGACAAGCACTTTAAATGAGAGGTCTACGAAGCTTGCAGTGAAGGGAGGGAATAGAGATTCAGGCATGTTAAGCACACAAGTCAGGCTGGTGGGAGGAAGAGAGACCTTGGCAAGGATAGAACATGCTGAAAGGGGACCCAGCTCAAGTACCTGTACACAGAACCATGACACTGGAGTAACTGAGACATGTGGGATAGCTCACACAACTGGAGCTTTGTCATGGATGCATACAAGCTTTTTAAGAAAGCCAGGAAGGAAAGAACAGCAGCTGAATTGCCCTCTATCTAAAGGAGCAGGTGGAACACAGAAAGCTGTTCTACAGGACTGACAACAGGCTAATTAAGAGCTTGTGGGTCGGGATTAAAGGAGAGGTCCATGTGGGCAGCATCACAGTCAAAGTTTGTTATAAATCACCTGATTGGGGTAAGAAAGCAGATGAAGTCTATTTCAGCAATTCCAGAAAGTCTCTAAAATCACAGAGACTGGTTATTGTGGGACACTTTAACCACCCTGACATCTACTGGAAGGGTATCGCAGCAAGACACAAACCATTGAGGAGGCTTTTGGAAGATTTCAGGGAAAAACAGATGCTAAATGGGTCAACCCTTTTGATACTTTCTTGGAATTGTTTTCAAAAAAAAAAAAAAAAGGAAGAATTTGCTGGGTATGGGATCAACAGCAACCTTGACTATAGCAACCATGAAATAGTACTTTAAAATCCTGAGAGGTGTGAGAAAGGCACGTCTACTACAGACCTTGCAGTTCAGAAGGGCAGACTGACTTATTCAGTAGTTAGAACTCTGTGGGACCCAGTTCTGAAAAGCAAAAGAGCTCAAGAAAGCTGGCGGGTATTTAAGGACAACTACTTCTAACCACACAAAAAGTACATCCCAACGCTCAGGAAAATAAGCAGATCAATCA